AGAAGAAAGTCTCTTTTCATTCTTTTGTATCCCATTGTCGGTCATTTATCTTTCTCCCATTTGAGGATATGTATTTGCTGAAAACCAAAATTCAGCAGTTCACAGTCAGCTTTCTCAGTGCAGGTTAATTTTGCCCTACTGTGAGAGGCATTGGGGGAAGAGTTTCTAAGCACCTGGTGCTCTGCAGGGTCTTATCTAAAATGTCATCTTTATTGATCTCAAGGCTGACTGTTCGGAAAGGCGATCCCTCCCCATTGAATTGTTTAAACAATAGTGTATTAGTATGCACATAAAAATACAGTCAATCAGTTCTCAAGATCTATAAGAAAGAAAATGCATTAACTTTTTTTTAAAAAATTCTGGATGGCAGCGTCAGAAAATCGAAAATCAGGTGCGGTGTCTTGATTCAGAGATTTTAAATCTGATAAACTGGTGCCACATCATCTGTTTTCAAGCTTGAAGACTTAGCTTGCGCATATAGGTTTTCTATTATCTATGGTTAAAATGCAATAAATATAGATAATTAAGCATTTATTTTAATAGACTTTCAAAAGGTGGATTGGAGGAATTGTTTGCCTGAGCTGATCTCACAGAGGGAAGGGCAGCTAATATTGCTGCACTTGGTCTGGCTCCGTTGGTTTTTCTTCTGTTATTGCTGTTAACCAATTTCAAAGTGGATGAAGCTGGAAGTTTGTAAATAGATTATTATCTGAGAGGCAATTTTACTTCACTGGAAATGACTTTATTATGTGGAGAAGAGTAAAAATGTAATTTGGACCCCTGTCCAGATGCTCTTAGTCTGGTAGCAGAGAATGGTTTTATTTGTTAATTTGTCCTTTTAGGGTTTCTGCAGCCAGTCTTTAAATAGAGCAATTTAGCATTTGGGGGGAAAAACAAACTCTGCACCATCCAAGAATATAATTGAAAATTACCCCATATCCATACACAATAATTACCTTTCAAAACATTTCCCATTGCCTGACATCATAGTGGTAATTGCTTAATGATATTATAATTTCATTACGTAGGGATTACAGTGGCTCAAAATGAGGTAAATTGGAGGCTTTGAAAATTAAGTTATAATGAAAACAAAACCCTTTATGCAAGTTTAAAGCACTTATTTCAATGTAAAATTATACATAATGTCACCCAAGTTTTGTACAAGTGTCATTGTTGGTAGAGTTTTAAAATTCATCCCTTTGAAGCTTTAGTCCTAAAAACCACAAAAATCCGCTTCAGTCCCGTGGTCGTAATGCACAAGGAGCCAGCTCTACGGTGATATGTATTGGAACGAATACGTTTATATAGCCCTTATTGCTTCAGTCTGGATGCATTATGTAGCAAAGCCCCTACTAATGAATTGGATCCACCTCGATCCCTTTGCAGTTGGTGATAAAGACCCATGGCCCATTACAACTGTTATTTTCATCTTTGAAGGATTCCTGACTGGCCATAAAACGTATTGAGTTTTCTAATTTAATAGCGCCAGCTTAAAATTTTATCTTTTTGGAAAGTACCAACCCAGAGTATGCTAAGCAATTAGATGGCATGTAACTCTGACGTGCCAGACGTCAGAATTTCCCCCCACACACACCCATGTGTGGTTGGAGTCAAAACAAAGCATCAGACAGCAGACCCCTGAGATATATTGTTGACTCATGATCGTTTACCCCTATGATATGTGATTTTAACATTACCACTGATGGAAAAATTAGTTTTACTTTTTGAAAATACATGATTTTTGGTGTAAGAATTCTTTTTACTTTATGATGAATTCATTATAATGTGCTTTGTAAAACTAGTTAGGGGCTTTGTGTTTTGCTCAAATCTGCTATTTTGTTTTCTTATGGTAGTCAAAAATGAAACAGGTGCAGTTTGGTGGTAGGGAATAAGGTATAAGCGAACAGACCCCTCTTGTGTCTAACTAATCTATCTTACATTTTTCATGATGACAGTTCTAATGACAATATCTATTGAGTGTTCGCTATGTGTGCAGAGGGCCACAAAGTATCTTACTTAGTTCCCCTAGGTACTGCCACAGATAGTGTTACTGTCCTTACAGAGGGGAAGCTAAGCCTCAGAGTGGTGAATTTTCCCAGTGTCCCACCGCTATGAAGTGGTAGAAATGGGATATGGACCCAGGTCTGTCAGACTCCACTGTCTAAATGTCATGCTGCGCCTCCCTGTGAAGACTTCTCTTAGGACTTCAACTCCATCAAGGTTCCTGTTCTGACTGACTAAAAAAACATATAGCCTGAACGTCACGATTTATTTCAGTATTGTCATTATCCTTAACAGTAATGGTAACGATCATTTATTGAACAACTACTATGTGCCCTGGCCTATGCATATTATCCAGTGTCCGGTTTAGTCTTCCACAAAATCCTACGAAACAGGCCTTGTATTCCCATTTGATAAATGAGGACACAAAGGTCCGGGGAGGCAGCGTAGCCTGTGAGTGCCCTGCGGCCATTCGGGCAGTCAACAGCAGAACTCCTCTGTCCTGTCCGCCGCTCTGCAGTTGCAACCCCCAGTTTACCCCATCACTAATCTTCAGTAGCTGCTTTTGTTTCATGTGTGAATGTCCCATCCACGCCTAGACATGGTACAGACTGAATAGATGCCACCACATAGCAGGCACACGTTAGTTTCTCACTGGTTCTGTTCCCTGAAGTAGCCCAAACAAGAAAGGGATGACGGATTGAATATCTGAAGGTCAAGGACATGCACATCCTCTTCTTGACGTGCAGAAGTGACCTAAGGGGGGTCGTCTTCCACGTGAAACAGCCACTTGAAAAGCCTTCCCAATCTCTCCTACTTAGAGGGAGAAGGAAGGTGGAGGCAGGACCCTGGGAACCACCCTTAAGGTAACAGTAGAAAGTAAAGGAAAAGCAGCCTGTCTTCTCTGATTTCCTGTTCTTAATTAGAAACCATGCAGGGTGCTCAGCCCAGCTCCCACCATTAACGTGGCCATTAGCACAGTCCTGTCATACTTCAAGGACATAAGCCACTACAGCAAAGAGTCACAGAAACTCATCAGAGGCACTGCAGGAATCATTGGATCTGCTCCCACCCTGTGCACAATAAAATCTCACACAAATGGCCGCCCCGGTCCCTGCTCCACCCTCCCCAGGACCCACATTCCATCTCCCAGTCAGCTCTACTGTGTGGAAAATTCCTCCTGGGCTGAGCCACAATCTGGCTCCTTGTAACTTTCCCCCATTGATCCTCTTGCTTCCTCCTGGAACCCTGCAGAATCTTCTCAACTTCTCTCTCACTTACCACCTTTTATCTACTTGAAGCCAGACGGGCTGCCGTTACCTCAGGCTTTGTCTTTTCCAGAGGGAATAAGCCGAGATCTTGCCTCTGACCTCCCACATGGATTCTCTCATCTTTGTGGGTTTTGAAATAGGAGAGATGAAGTTTCTTTTGTTTCCAAACCTGAGGTTTTCAAACGGAGGACACCTTTACAATTTTTTACTCTCTTCCATGTTTAAATTCCCATAGTGTAATAGCTCCCCGTTGAAAAAGCATGGCGCCCGGATGGTAGAAAAAACATGCAGCTGAGAGTCTGGAAACCTAGGTTCATCCCTGACTCTGCTCTGACTCACCAAGTGACCTCGGAGGAGCTGGTGAACTCCGCACGCCCTGCTCCCCTCATCCTCAGAGGGGCACGTTAACTCCTGTTTCACAGGATCCAGAAGGTCAAGCGAGCTTCTGTGTGGGGAAGTGCTTTCTAGGCCGTGGAGGGCGCCACCAGTTGGACGTTAGCAGGCAAGGCAGAGGTCCTCCTTCCCTCCGGGTAGCTCCACGTTTCAGCTCCACTGCGGGCACCGTATGCAGCTCATAAGAGAGTCGGCTGATTCCACGTTTTGCCCAAGACAGTGCACACTCCGTGAGGACAGGGCCTGCTTCTCAGATCCCCTCATCCCCAGCACTCGCTCAGTGCCTGGCGCGGGGACGATCGTGTCATGTGTCTTTGCATGGTCAGAGGGATGGCTGTGGTAGAGTCTCAAAGCCCCACTCCGCCACCTCGTTTTCAGAAGTACTCAGGAGGCACTCACGTGCTGGTGATGGCATCAAGTGCACAAGTGCTTAGCACAACACTGGCACATATAAGGTGCTCAGGAAACATCTTCATCATAAAACAGTCTTTTTTTTTTTTTCATTCCATGCCATGTGTTGGAAACCAACCAAACCTGCCGATAACAGGCAGCAGCTGGGCACCTGGGTGGCTAAGTCGGTTGAGCGTCTTGACTTCATTTCAGGTCATGATCTCCCAGTTCGTGAATTCAAGCCCCACACGGGGCTCACGGCTGTCAGCGCAGAGCCTGCTTTGGACCCTCTGTCTCCTCTCTCTGCTCCTCTCCTACTTGTGCTCTCTCTCTATATATCAAAATTAAACGTTTAAAAAATAATAATAAACATAGGCAGCAGGAGTTCCTCCAAACCGTGTAAATGGTGTCACAAGGGACACATATGAAGCCATGTCCGTGTGACTAGCAAACTTGAAGGACCTTCCTACCACTAATAAAATGACACATCACCCGACAGCTTTCCATATGTGTCCCATGCTCTGTGTCCTAAACGACATTATCATTTCAATTCAGGTTTATTTGGTAGCATTCTTAAGGTGCATTCGCACAGCCCTGGCCCATGACAGAATCTGAACTGTCACCCCCAAGTCTTGAGTCCCACCCGCATCCCTGATCCCTTTAGTCCCTGGGCCCTGTCCTTTCTCGGCTCCCTCCCTGACAGTTCTCAGAGCTCAGCTTCTCTGGTCCTTCACAGGGAGCTGGCCACCTCACCCTGCGCTGCAGTACTGAGTCCGCAGGCCCGGGTTGCTCCCCCACGGCCCCGGCCTTGCCATTCTGCCCACAGAAAGAGCATCTCCAGGGAGGGATGGAGCTTTTTTTTGCCTCCTTGGCCTTCTGCCCTTCCGGTTCAGGAATTCCTGGCCATGCAGGCGGCTAACGTGTCTGTGGTTCCCCTCCCCGCAGGTGAAGAAGACCCAAGCGTGGGAGAGGACGAGGAGGTGCTGACTCTGCTCTATGACCCATGTCTGAACTGTTACTTTGACCCCCAGACAGGGAAGTACTACGAGCTGGTGTGAGGCCTCCCTCCGGAGCCAAGATGCGGTGGTCCGGCTGGCAAGCAGCAGAGTACTTGTGACGCCACTGAGTGGGGACCGCAGAGCGTGTATCCGGCAGGCCCACAGACTCCAAAGTAACTGAGAAATAAAGTTATTTTGTAAATAATGTCCCATGTTAAGGATGCCGATGCTCTTTTGGTAGATGTGTGTGATCTTTTTAGCAGCAAAGGAATTCATACAGAGACAAGATTTTAGGACTTTGAATTGGTTCTTGTTTGTTCGTTCTCATCCAACATAGAATCTTTTTTATCTCCTATAATCTTATGGAAACAAATTAAGAGTTCTTAATTCAAAATTTTGGCAGTGTTAATCTGTAAATGATGGCTTGATACACAGAAAATGTATTCTTGTTTTAAAGATATCCAGGTACCTTTTGTTTTATTACCTATTTGTATTAAAAATAAAGTATGATGCTCAGAAGAATACCTCTTAAGCTGCCTCCTTTTATTTACCTTGTATTCATTACCAGAATATTCCAAGATACTGTTTACCCTTCCCTTAGACTCTTAGAAAAGGAAGCACTGCACACTGGTCAGAGTTCATGATCACGTGAAGTTTCATCCAGAGTTTGCCAAAGATCACAACATTGTTAATCACTTAAGCCTCTTAGCACTGTGCTGTGCTTTTTTTTTAAAGATGTTTTGTTTTTACCAATTATCTCTGAATTCTAATAATATTTAAACCTTTTAATCCATGGATCCAGATTTAAGAAGCCATCCATCTGAACACCCTACACCCCTCACTACTTCTGTGACTTGGCCTGGAGAAATGGAGGAAGCGATCACTATAACTCTCCTTACTGCCACAAGGAAAAAATCATGTACTTCCTGAAATCAAGGAGATGGCCTCGAATCGTGTGCCAAGTATATTAATATTGAGCACAAGGAAGTACTTATATTAGCTGGAATATTTTGTTATTTAATAAAGATTTTTTAATAAAGAAGAGTACCATTGGAAATGAAAAATTATTGGTGTACAATTGGATTTAATGGCAGTACTATAATTTCATTTAATGTTGCTTGATAGAGGAAATAAGAGCTCTTTTTTCAGGAGTAGATTCAGGCTCCTGTTCAAAGGGTCATACATTATTTAGAGCCATGTTTCTGTTTGATAAGCTTTTAATCCCATTGTTCACAAAGTATACCTTTGTTATAAATTTTTCGCCAAGATGTTCATACTTACAAAGTGCAAATAAATAACTGAGGCTTCAGAAAGCATACAAAATGATAAAATAGTGGGGCTATCTTGGTTATGACCTTGAAGACTGGAGAAGAATCCTGGAGAGCCTGGATCCTGCTTTAGTGAGTTTCAAGACCATCCACATAAATGGAGTCAATTAAAGGTCTGTGCTAGTTAAGACCTGTAGTTACAAATATCAAAAACACCATGAGCTAAAAATGCCTAAGGATGCAGGAGTGCCTCGTGAAGCCCAAGACAGAATGCTACAAACGTCCACATGGACTTGAGCTGGGACCTAAAACACTGTGTTGGGATTCTTAAATTGCAAGCACCAGACAGACATGTTTGATCTTAGAATTCAAAGACTTGTTGAACAATCAGACCCCAGGAGGCACAGGAATCCGGGGAGCTGCAGGGAATATATAGGGAAACTATATGTGCTATAGGGAAACTATAGCAGGAGCTAATAGTTTCTCCCAACGATGGTCGCCAAATTGACAGTGCAGCCTTTTTCTGCTTTGAGTCCTTGCTCCAGGAATAAGAGGCTGGTAGGCTTGACTTGTCAGTTGTCCCCAGGGCCACATGGAACGGGAATGAGAGGGTCCCTGAGGAAGAAGGTATTGCCAACAAAACGGGAGGGATGTCAAGCAAACAGAAACAACAGCTGTCTACTTGGGGAGGCTCAGGAGCATTGCCCCCGCCGTTCACCTCTGATTTGTTTGCAAAGCGAATTCTCTCTCCCCAGAATTCTCAGCTACTGCCCACCTTCCAGAACATTCAGCCATTCCACAGCACATACATGCATTCACAAAGAACTATGAACTCTGAATTTCAGTTCAAAAATCCCAGACTTGGTAATTAAAGTTGCCTCTTGGGTCCGATGGCCACCAGAAGCCTCTGGTGTGGATGGAGAGAAGAAGGAAGCTAAAGAGTTTCTCATGAACCAAGTAGACACTCCAAAAGGTATCTACAACAAACTCTTATTATCCACCTTTTACACTTTGTTTGTCCTTGTTTAAAGGAGTAGCTTCAGGGGCGCCTGGGTGGCTTAGTCGGTTAAGCGTCCGACTTTCGCTTAGGTCATGATCTCGTGGTTCGTGGGTTCAAGCCCCGCGTCGGGCTCTGTGCTGACTCCCAGCTCAGAGCCTGGAGCCTATTTCAGAGTCTGTGTCTCCCTCTCTCTCTGACCCTCCCCTGCTCACGCTGTCTCTCTCTCTCCTAGAAATAAATTTTTAAAAATATTTAAAAAATAAAATAAAATAAAATAAAAAATAAAGGAGTAGCTTCATTACTGTTGAGGTGGTTTCTACACTCCAGAAGAGTTGAAGAGTTAAAAAAATAAAAACAGATGTGCTTCACACTGCCAATTTTGAACCAAAATGGTATAGGCAGCAAGCCTGGAAATTCGTTGACTGGACTAGACTGCTTCACTGGTCATCAAATGTTGCTGCACATTAGAACCTCCTGGGAAGTTTATAAAAACACTGAAGCATAGGTTGCACCACCAATGAGTCTGATTTGATTGGTCACAGGTGCACCTTGGGAATTGGAAATTTGTGAAACCTCCCCTGGCGAGTGTGATGTGTTGTAATGCTTGAGAACTACTGCTATAGATGAGAGGGCAGAAGCTTTGCCTGATAGCAGACGTATCAGTGGGGAAGAGTCCATTAATTTCATTTTCAAGACCCTGATGTCTACCTTTCTAATCAAATGTGTACTGAGCATTATATCTGAAACTGACTATTACAAAGGGATCCTGAGAAAATAGTTTGATTCACTATGAAAATACATCCTAAGATAATTTGGTATCAGTTTGGGGACTGACTCAGTTTGTTTCATATAATTTGGGATGCAACTTGCAAGCGACTTTAAGTCTTCAGTCTCTACATTATTATTTAATTACAGAGCACAGGTAATGACAATTATGGAAAAACAGTCAACTTAAAAGTGGCATCAGATCAATGACTTAGCTTCCCTGGGCAATGATAACTTTTCTCTCCAATTTATTTTATTTTATTGTATCTTAAAGGAAAATAGTGGCATGTGCAAAATACATAGACACTTAATAATTTGCCCTGTTGTATTTCTCCATATTTTTAGACTAGCTTCATTTTAAATCATTCATTTAAACGACATCTTGATTTTTTTTGAAGACCAAACTGTGCTTAATAACTAAGAATAGTGCAATCACAGATTGTACAACCTGAAGGACAATTAATTAAAAGAACTAATTTTAAAGTTGCCTTTTGGCTTTAATTAAAGATCTAGCTGCTGAAAGTCTCTGGACTGTTTTAGGGAGAGAAAAAAAAAAAGCTGTTGAATGACTGCAAGTACAGTACTAAAACTAGCTTTAGCAATGTTGCCCCTCTGACTCTTAACCTTCGATCACAGCAGCCAGAATGAGGATTAGAAATCACCTATCCACATATGGTTGTATTACAGGATTCCTATTTCTTACATTGCTCCTTTTGCACTCAGCAAAGTTGGTCATGGAGAGGATCCAAGCAAATCCTACCTTTTTTTCTCCCATTAAAATAGTTGAGGTAGAATCGTCTAATTGGGCCTAGATAGGACAATCAAGATTATTTCCTTATTTTTTTAATGTTTATTTTCTTATTTTGAGAGAGAGCACAAGCGGGAGAGGAAAAGAGAGAGATGGGGAGAGAGATTCCCAAGCTGGCTCCACACTGTCAGTGCAGATCCTGGCGTGGGACTAGAACTCACGAAATTGCAAGATCACGACCTGAGCCAAAATCAAGACTTGGCCACTTAACAGACTGAGCCATTCAGGTGCCCCCAAGATTATTTCTTTTTTTTTTTTCTTTTTTTTTTTTTTTTACAAATAGTTTATTGTCAAATTAGTTTCTAAGATTATTTCTTTAAACTCTGATTTTATGGTGGAGAAAAGTGAGCTTCAGATTGGGAAGGCACTCAGTTGCAGAACGGAGAACGGGATCCATGACTTCTCACTTCCAACCCAATTCTATTTCCACCCTGCGGGAATTAAGTTGCAAATTCAAATGACAGTGTGAGATGGACATCACACACACCATACAGTGGGCACTAGTGCTCTCTGGCAACCAGAAGCTTGCGCTCTCTGGTCCCTTCTCTTTTGCTTTGTGTGGATTCTTTCTTCCCTCCATTGTCAGCCTTGACACTTCAAGGATCAGCATTTCCCAAAGTGTTTCAAGAAACAAATCCCATTCGATGGTAATAAACTTTGTGGGTTTGAGGAAGAAGCCCACGGTCAAACAATCTTGGCTAATACTATCCAACACTAGAGGAGTAGAGATGGTCATCTGTCTTAACAGACGGAGAAGTTCTCAAGGGCTTTAATAAATTAACATGCAGATGGAATGTACAAGAAGTAGGATACACAGCACTTCACAAATTTCTTTGTGCTCAGAACCTTTTTGAGTAGAGCATCCCAGGGGGCTTAGCTACCCCGGAACCTCCTTTGAGAAATGCTGCAGATCACCTCTCCACCCCAGGCCATGAGCCCTGACCTCCACCACAACTCCCAGAATTGGGTCTCCTCGAGTTGGTGGTTGGTTGGTAGCGTCTGTGTGGTGTTGATGGTGGCGGTGGGTTTTTTTCCTTTTTGTTTTTGTTTTTTTTACCCTGATATTTCATACAGATCCCCGACTATAGGATTACTTTTTTTTATTTAAAAAAATTTTTTTAATGTTTATTTCTGAGAGAGGGACGGAGCGAGAATGGGGGAGGGGCAGAGACAGACACACAGAATCTGAAGCAGGCTCCAGGCTCTAAGCTGTCAGCACAGAGCCTGATGTGAGGCTCAAACCCACGAACTGTGAGATCATGACCTGAGCCGAAGTCAGACACTTAACCAACTAAGCCACCCAGATGTCCCCACACAATAGGATTATTCTTGACACTCACTTTTCATCTAAAAGTATGCTGACATCTGAACTTCTGTTAAGTCAGAAACTTTGGTCACCTAAGATGAAGAAATTTTCTTTCTCATGTTTTAAATTATACAAACTTATAACTGTAGGTAATACAGTTAACGTACGACAAAGGATAAATCTAAGTTAAAGTTCATTCATCATGAATATTGGAGCTTTACATCTTAACAAATATTTTGGTTCTGATTTGGGTGGTTTTAATATAATTTAAAATCGCATTAAGTCAAAATAATTTGACTTATAAGAATTAAA